ACTGCAGGGAGATACATAGACTACAGGGGACACATGGACTGCAGGGAGATACATAGACTACAGGGGACACATAGACTGCAGGGAGATACATAGACTACAGGGAGATACATAGGCTACAGGGGACACATGGACTGCAGGGAGACACATGGACTGCAGGGAGACACATTGACTTTAGGGGACACATGGACTGCAGGGAGACACATGGACTGCAGGGAGATACATAGACTACAGGGGACACATGGACTACAGGGAGATACATAGACTACAGGGGACACATGGACTGCAGGGAGACACATGGACTTTAGGGGACACATGGACTGCAGGGAGATACATGGACTGCAGGGAGACACATGGACTGCATAGAGATACATAGACTACACGGGACACATGGACTGCAGGGAGATACATAGACTACAGGGGACACATGGACTGCAGGGAGATACATAGACTACAGGGGACACATGGACTGCAGGGAGAAACATTGACTACAGGGGACACATGGACTGCAGGGAGATACATAGCCTACAGGGGACACATGGACTGCAGGCGAAACATTGACTACAGGAGATACATGAGCTGAGGGGGACACATGGACTGCAGGGGACACATTAACTGAAGGGGACACATGGACTGCAGGGGACACATGAACTGAGGGGGACACATGGACTGCAGGGAGATACATAGACTACAGGGGACACATGGACTGCAGGGGAAACATTGACTACAGGAGATACATGAACTGAGGGGGACACATGGACTGCAGGGGACACATGAACTGACGGGGACACATGGACTGGAGGGGACACAGGCACTGCAGGGGACACGTGGACAGCAGGGGACACATGGAATGCAGGGAGACACATCGACTGCAGGGAGACAAATGGACTGCAGGGGACACCTGAACTGAGGGGGACAGATGGACTGCAGGGAGACTGCATAGAGATACATAGACTACCGGGGACACATGGACTTCAGGGGACACATGAACTGTGGGGGACACAGGGACTTCATGGAGATACATAGTCTACAGGGGACACATTGACTACAGGGAACACATGAACGGAGGGCGACACATGGGCTGCAGGGAGACACATTGACTGCAGCCGTGACACAATACACATGGACTGCAGGGAGTCACATGGACTGCAGGCAGACACATGGACTGCGGGGGACACAGGGACTTCAGGGAGATACATGACCTGCGGGGGACACATGGACTTCAGGGGACACATGGACAACAGGGGACACATGACCTGAGGGGGACACATGGGCTGCAGGGGACACATAAACACATATACTGAGGGGAACACATATAATGTGTGAGACACATATACTGAGAGAAACACATATAATGTGAGAGACACATATACAGAGAGAGACACATATACGGAGGGAAACACATATTCTGCGTGAGACATATATACTGAGCGAGTCACATATAGTGAGGGAGACACATATCCTGCGGGAGACACATATACTATGGGAGACACATATAGTGAGGGAAACACATATTCTGCGTGAGACATATATACTGAGCGAGTCACATATAGTGAGGGAAACACATATTCTGCGTGAGACATATATACTGAGGGAAACGCATATAATGTGGGAGGCACATATACTGAGGGCGACACCTATACTGTGGGAGCCACATATATTGAGGGATACACATATAATGAGGGAAAAAAATATAATGTGGGAGACACATGTACTACAGGGGACACACGGACTGCAGGGAGATACTTAGACTACAGGGGACGCTTGGACTGCAGGGAGATACAAGAACTGAGGGAGACAGATGGACTACAGGGGACCCATGGACTGCAGGGATACACATGGACTGCAGTGAGACGCATAGACTACAGGGGTCACATGGACTGCAGGACACATGGACTGCAGGGAACATATAGACTGCAGGGGTCACATGGACAGCAGGGAGACACATGTACTTCAGGGGACACATGGAATGCAGGGAGACACATGAACTGAGGAGACACATATACTCAGGGAAACACATATACTGAGAGGCACATATACTGTGGTAGACACATATACGGTGGGAGACACATATACTATGGGAGACACATATAGTGAGGGAAACACATACAATGTGGGAGACACATATCCTGCGGGAGACACATATACCGTGAGAGACAAATATACTGAGGGAAACGCATATAATGTGGGAGGCACATATACTGAGGGGGACACATTGACTGAAGGGAGATACATAGACTGCAGGGAGACAAATGGACTGCAGGGGATACAGGAACTGAGGGGGAAACATGGACTGCAGGGGAAAAATGAACTGAGGGGGACACATATACTGAGGGGGACACATGGACTGCAGGGGACACATGAACTGAGGGGGACACAGGGACTGCAGGGAGATACATGAACTGAGGGAGACACATGGACTACAGGGGACACATGGACTGCAGGGAGACACATGGACTGCAGGGAGACACATGGACTGCAGCTGTGACACAATTGACTGGACTGTCCTGTTATGTCTCAAGGACATGGTTCACTTATGCTCAATGATGCAAATATGTGTAAGATTAGCTGTCACATATGTGTGTGTGAGACACCTGTTATTTAGTATTATAAAGTGATACCTAATTAGTTTACCTGGAGGGGATGAAGTACTGAAGGAAAGAGCATGCCAAAAACACCTAGCCCCAATCTGTGTGTGATTATACACCTGTAAAACACAGGAGGAACATCTCCACAAGTCAATACTTCTAAGAGTGTGCGGGTCAAGTTGTTTAGGCTGTCTGTTGGGGGTCATTTTTGCACACAAAGTGCAGGTTCCTTACCCATCACCACTGTGTTTTCTCACCCCTGAGCCATGTGGAACAGCTACAAGGTGTAAGTTATTCATACTGTATACCCACATGTTGTTGACATCCCAGAAACCTGTTTATTGGTACATTACATTGATTAAAACATCACGTACAACCATTTGGTGTGGATGACTAGAATGCTCCATAGCCACTTCGGTTTCATAATTTTTGTGTATTTTAAAATTTGAAATGTAAAATAAATTCCAGGGGACTTAAGAAATAGTTTATAGATTAACTGGTGTATTTAACCCCTTTATCGTAGATGGTATCACTGGGTGTGAGACAAATGATATATCAAGGCAATGCAAAAGTAGTTTCAAGTAGAAATTAATCAATTAAACCAAAATCAAATATTTGAATGTGGTTCCGAGTTTGTCATAACAAAGTTTAACCAATTTGCTGAGACGTTCTGCCCAACTTTCAGAAAGTAAATGGCAACCATATTTAATCTGATTGCCACCTTGGTCTGAAATTAATGGAAACAGTTCAGATAACAAAAGAAACAGGTGAACTATACAGGCCTAATGTGCCCCTTGTTGCAAGATATTCTATAACTTTAGTCAAGAAAGATATCCTCTATAATTATATCATTACTAATAAGTGAGATGTGTCCCTGTACCAACTGTCAATTCAAGTACAACACTATTCAAATAGTAGCTACTGAGGTAGTGGTTACCTCAAAGTTGTTACTTTTGTCCTGAGATACAAAATGTTCAAGTTCATATAAGGAAGCTGTGTATTGTTTGAGTGTAACAGGAACTACACAATACAGAGCGTATATCCTATTGTTTCTAAACTGTTGATTCGTCAGCTTTTACACTATCATTGGAAAAATCCTTCCACTACCTAGAAACACACTTCAATAGTTGAACAGGATTGTCATAATATCTGATTTCTTACGGTACTATTTGCCAGTCCTGTTTTGGACCGTAGCAGTATGAGTTAAATACTATGGTATCTTGAATACCTTTGTTATCTCAAAGTTGTGAAGTGACGTTGCATTTGTATCTATGTATTTCAAATTGAATAATCTGTTTACTTCGAAATGGTTTAATTGACATACAGTCCAACTTGTATTAGGAGACCACTTTCGGAGGTCCATAAAGTGGTATCTTATTTCAGCTGGCCTCTGAAATCAGGCATCATTAATGACATGAAAATAAGTGCAATAGGGTGGGTTGACTGTATAAATGTCATTATAATTTCTATGAATATCACTACAGATATTTTAAATAAGGTGTTTGTCTCAAAGGTTTTCGTTGTCCTACCATGACCTCCACATAATGAGGGTTCCTAATCTACTGTTCATAAGCAGATGTCCTACGCCTAGCAATGTACTCCCAAGTATGGCTGACCCAATATAGCCAGTTCACCTACAGAAATAGCACAAGTGTGACCAGCGATTGATTAGCTAAACATGTCCCAGGCTATTATTTATAGACTGACCCATATAGAGTGATGCAGAAATAAAACTGCCATTTTAATATACTGGCAATAGTATCCTGGGTGTCCTTAGGTACATGCTTGCTAATGCCAGGAGTTCCTGACACTTTCATGAAGGGGTCATGCTACTCTCTAGAATCAAAATAGCTCCAATGCTTAGAGATCTGCTGACATTAAATGGTCATTCTAGAAACAACACTTCTGGGAAACAACACTTCTGGGAAACAACACTTCTGGGATGTACATCTCTATGGCTCAGGGAATAAAGCAAAACATTGTACACAAATGTTTATGGTTTTGACATGTTTACAGGGATGTTAAACGAACAGAAAATGCTAACAATTTTGACACAGTTTTAAGGTGTATGATGATGGTAGCAGCTGGTTGTTTGGCTATAGTACCTGTTGGGTGGGGTGGGGGGGTAGGGGATGCAGTGGCGCTATAGTTCTCTGTCAGTGTGTCTTTGTGCACCCTATAAGAGTATAACCGCCAGACAATAGCATCTAAAATCACTTCTACAACACTAATCCTACGGTTACAGGTCACAAGTTGTGGTAGATTTTGTGGTTAAAGGTCAAATAACTGTTTTTGAAGTTCACTTTATATAGGAGCCATGTTAATTACTTGTGTTATCTAAGTAAGATGAAATATAATTATACATTTCTGTGTGAATAAAATTAAAACCTAACTAACTGACTATTGTGCTTTCAGAATGTGTGCCCCCTGATTGTACCGGTCAGACACAACCCATGCCTGCGGAAGACTACACACATGCACAAGTCCAGTCTCAGACGCACCTAGACCTGATGGAGGAGGATAAACCCCTGATCCCCGGGGTCACTGTCCGGGCTGCCACGCCCGAACGACTCGTCCACCTATGTGTCGAGAGCTTTGGTAAGGGATTGCCATCATAGGGAAATGATGACCCTAATATGTGTACATGTATTTAATATAACATATCAATCTAATTCAAATGCAAATTGAAAGTCTTCATTATAGGAATAAATGATGTCATCATTGTATGATTTTGGTACTCCCTTTTAATTATACCTTGAACCTCACCAGTAGAATAGCATGTAACTAACTAATACAAATCCAGCAAAGGGTTTACCAGCAGTAAGCTTCAGAAAAGTTTCATAGAAAAAACCAATTAACCATAAAGTTAAGCTTGTTTATACGAGTGACATTGATCAACTTACAAGGACCCAGGGATCAGAATATGTATTCCTGTTTAAGGGAGCTGAAGTAAAGCCCATCATACATGTACTTCATGCTGTTAGGTTTCTTGTTCTACATCTCCATCCATCTATCCTTCCTCAGTCACAGTACTCCATACATTTAGTTACCCCTTTACATCCAACAATCTAGCCAGTCACCAGGCTTATGTTGGGTGGCCTTCACTCTTACTCAAAGTCATTGCATGTAACAGATAAATGTTACAATACAATTTCATGATACAAACAAAATTAATGTTTCGAACAGTATCCCTTTCTTCATACGTTATTATTTACCAGGAATTCCGGCCCTGTTTAAATTTCTTGGTTAAATTTTTAAAATATCAGTTTATGTAAGGTTTATGACAAAAGTGCAATAAATTGTGTCATGATTATTTAAAATTTTGTAAAAATAATTGTTGTGTACAAAAGATAACACAATCCGTTGTTACATGTTTAAGTCTCGAGACTGATTGATGTCTGACCTTGGCTGACATTGAATAACCTTGACCTTTATTCTGTACCTGTGTTGTGACACATTTGCATTTCTGAGGCTACAGATGGAAAACAGGTTGTTTTGATAACTTTCAGAGAAATTTGTCAAGTCTCGAAATTTATGCACAGTTAATAGCTTAATAGAGGGAAGATGTAAAATTAATTGTGAGACAAAAAAATGTGAAAACAAAGAAAACAATTAATTATTGTGCCATATCCAGCGTTTTATTTTCTTATTGTGTAACATAATTATGTAGATTAGATCAGATTCAGCGTTTAAATGATCCTACAATCTGTGAGATTTGTGTATAAACACTGTTTAAGTAGACTTACTGAGTGCATATCCTCCTATTCCACTAAAACTCGGTTCCCACGCCTATGATTGGTCAGATACACAACGGGGCCTCACGTACTAGTAACTATCCGGGAACGGGAACTACTGTGTATCACAGCCTGCTCCATAACCACATCTATTACATATTTTTGTAGTTGTTTATAATTCAGATCAAACACTCACATTTAAATTCTTGTCCTATTTCATCAAATCTTGACCATTTTATGAGGTCATTGTTAAGGCTGTGACTAGTATAGGTTAATCTGACTCTCGCTACATACATGTCAAGTTTCTTGTTTTCCACATCAAGTGAATATTTATGTTATTCAACACTGCTGATCAAATTTTTGACATATTTCATCAATCATTTTGAGGTTATGGTTATGAATTTTTGTGGTTATAATGGTCTTGGTTGACTGACTTTTAGAACACACTATGTAACAGAAGAAATTATTGAACAGGGCCAGACCGGGATTTGATCCCAGTACCTCCAAACTGTAAGTGGACGCTCTGCTTAACTGAGCTACCAGGATGCAACTCTTCAAATGAAAGGAAATGCAACTTGGCAAGACTCAAACTAGAGACTTACAAACTTTAGATAGATACTCTACTCTACTTGGTCTGAGTGACTGTACTTTGCCTGAGTGACTGTTCTTGGTCTGAGCTACTGTACTTGGTCTGAGATACCGTACTTGGTCTGAGCTACTGTACTTGGTCTGAGTGACTGTACTTGGTCTTAGTGACTGTACTTGGTCTGAGCTACTGTTCTTGGTCTGAACTACTGTACTTGGTCTGAACTACTGTACTTGGTCTGAGCTACTGTACTTGGTCTGAGCTACTGTACTTGGTCTGAGTGACTGTACTTGGTCTGAGTGACTGTACTTGGTCTGAGCAACTGTACTTGGTCTGAGTGACTGTACTTGATCTGAGTGACTGTACTTGGTCTGAGCTACTGTACTTGGTCTGAGTGACTGTACTTGGTCTGAGTGACTGTACTTGGTCTGAGCTACTGTACTTGGTCTGAGCTACTGTACTTGGTCTGAGTGACTGTACATGGTCTGAGCTACTGTACTTAGTCAGAGTGACTGTACTTGGTCTGAGCTACTGTACTTGGTCTGAGCTACTGTACTTGGTCACCTGCCTGTTTTACACTGTCAACACTATAGTGAAGTCTATTCTATATGTGTATGTAATATTGCTAGGGACCAGGCATTGTACATGATTGTGGTTTCGGTGGAGATTTTTTATTGTAGTTAAAATAACCATATTGTCATAAAAATATGAGAAATATAAAATGTGTCTGGTAAGTGATATAGCTGGCCGACTGGCCGCAAGTCAAGGTTTGCTGACAGCTAAGTGGGCTTCAATTATGTAACTTAACTTATCAAGTTCATGAATCAACAGACGGGAATGATTTAGTTTTGTATTATTGTTACCAGGTGTTAAGACCTCTTTATTGTAAGGGATTTTTTGATTTATGAAATTGAGGGAATTGTTCTGTGAGCTAAGTATACACCTGATCATGAGTTTACAGAACAAAATTGTCACCACTGGACATTGTAATATATGTATATAACAGGAGATGGGACTGACCAGTACCTCATCATATATATATGGACAAGTCTGATACATACATTACCTATTATACACTCTAGGTCTATATTTGGTTTGGCCAGAAGGTTTTTTTAGAAATAAATGACCATGATATTTGGTCTGTAGCCAAAATATCATGCTGTCTGTGATGAAACACTTAATGTGTTGACCGACATAACATTATTAGAATCTCTCAATAGATTAGATATTTTACAGTGATAGTTAAAATTCTGCTTGTTTTTCCTCTTCCTACACTAATAAACAAACTACTGAACAGCTTTGGTAAACTTTTCTTCATCAAATCAGGACTAATTAAAAGAAATTGTCAAACTGAACAATTAATCATTTTTGTCCAAAAGTGTAAAGATTCAGAATTACCTGCTATATTTGAGTCCAGAATAATGAAGTTGCATAAACATTTGTACAACACTGCCAAAAAAATATAATGGTTTTTTTTGTGAATTTTCAGGGAAGGATGGACGCCTGGTGGAAGACAATGAATTCCCGAGCGTCCTGTTCCTCATGCACAAATGGTTTATGACATCCGATGAGATGGCTGAGGCTTACGTGGATCTGTATCCTTATATACATCAGCTTCTGTCAATTGCTCTCAACCTTCCCAAGCTTTTCACTCAATTTATATTACAGAGCTCGCTTATTAACATGCTTTCTGATGACAAATCTTCCAAATTGTCTGACAGTTTCAAGATTTTCATCTTCCCCTTCCTCACCATAAAAAATGTTATTTTCGACTTTATGCAATTTTTTTAATACACAGGTATACCTTGTATGGTCAAGTAGCTTCTGACACCGTGATTCAAACTATAGTAGGATACTGGAGTATAAAATGCATTCTGATCTTAATCTAATCATGGCTGACTGGGGCTGGACTAACTGTTAAACTGTCAACCAATTTAAGTGGACGCTGCATGAATTTAAGTTATGAAAACTGGTCACTTTCAATGAGTGGATGCATAATTTTCACCAATCTAATAGGATGCTGCGGTTGGTGAAACTTGACCAGAAGTTGGCCACCAACACAAGTGCATTTCCTGGCGAGCGAGTGACTGTTGTGAGAGCTATTTACGTGACTCAATGTCCATCGTACAAGTGTGCACCACTTCAACTTATTTATCACCAGTGTTCAGCCTCCTTATACACGCACACATTGCGCAATGTCAAACATATAGCTTGTAAAGGATTTCGTCATTGTAACCTTTGTTACTTATAAGATAGATATTAATTGGATAAATGTGCTGTAACACTAGGGTAGTGGTACAGTAGTACCGTTCTAGACTTCAGGTGTTGGACTTTAAAATGTATTTGTCTCAGGGATAACTTGAGGAAATGGAGTTACAGAAATAGAATAGAAAATGTAGTTACAGAAATAGAATAGAAAATGTAGTTACAGAAATAGAATAGGAAATGAAGTTACAGAAATAGAATAGAAAATGGAGTTACAGAAATAGAATAGAAAATGGAGTTACAGAGATTTATCTAAGCCGTTATTTTGGGTTGGAGTGCTATCCACAGTGATTTTTTGTGGATGCGTTTGGCTGGCAGGAGATGATAATGATGGGTGCTGAATTCTGTTTTTGTAATCAGTGGACTTTTACTGGTTTAATATATCATGACTGGCAAAAATGTTACGATTTTGTTTGGATATTCTGGTTTCATTACAATATAAAGAGTAACATTTTCCATAAGATATCCCTTTATTCAGGTGAATCTGATATGTATGCAGAGGCCATAACTTGACATCAATACTGCATCATTTACTGTCTCCATAATCAGGAGTTATTACCAGGCACAACAAGCTCACACGTTAAATTAGTCCGAATTCTTCTGACGTTTTATCGACTTATTTTTATATCAGTCTGTCATCGATTAACGTCAGAACTCTATAATATGCGGGAAATACACGACCCGCGCCAGGGTCGCTCTTCAAACTGATATTTTAGAAACAAATCGTCACTTTCACACACATGTTGCACATGGATCGAAAGTTAATCGATGACAGACCGATACAAAAATAAGCCGATAAAATGTCAGAAGGTTTATTGCGATCGCCTTTTGTCTGTTGTCGTCCGTCGTCCGTCATGCCGTCCATTAACAATTTACATTTTCGACATCTTCTCCAAAACCCCTGAACCAATTTCAATGAAATTTTGCAGGAACCTTCCATGGACAAAGGTCAACAAAAATAGGGGCCGGTTTAGTCCCAAGCCCCAAGGGGCCTGAGGGGCGGGGCCAAAAAGGGTCAAATTGACTAAAATTTCAAAAATGTTCTTCTCAAGACCAAGATATGGTAGAATCAAATACTCTTCATAGATGGAAGGGTCTTAAGGTGCTTTACCAACATTGTGAATTTCTTGACCCTGGGGTCTCACATTTAACCCTGGTGAGGGGGTAAACTTAACGATAGTTTATATAGGGAAATCACATTTTGGACCAACATTTGTTTAATTTCCATTGGAAGTAATTCAATTTGGGTTAGCATTATCAGTATTAGGTAGCAGTTTGATAGTATGCACCTATGAGCCCTGACTGACCCCCAGGGGCTGATGGGTGGGGCCAAAAAGGGTTGAATTGACTGAAATTTCAAAAATCTTCTTCTCAAGACCAAGATATGGTAGAATCAAATACTCTTCATAGATGGAAGGGTCTTAATGTGCTTTACCAAAATTGTGAATTTTATGACCCTGGGGTCTCACGTTTACCCCTGGGGAGGGGGTAAACTTTACTATAGTTTATATAGGGAAATCACATTTTGGACCAACATTTGTTTAATTTCCATTGGAATTAATTCAATTTAGGTTGGCATTATCAGTATTAGGTTGCAGTTTGATAGTATGCACATATCAGCAAAATTTATTATGGTTTATAGTGGCAAATGATACTTTGAATATTACATGTTAATTACTTGGTTGGAATTATAACCTTGAGTTGACAGTTTGATACTGTGAACATTTTGAGCCAGCCCTACCCCCAAGGGCTGTAGGGTGGGGCCCAAAGGAGTCAGTGTGCTAAAATTTCTTCATTTTCCTTGTTTAGAATCAGAGGTGCTAGTTTCAAATACTTTTCAGTCTTAAATCTGTATGCTAGATATTCAATAAGGTGGTTTTAATTTTTTTTTGTCACTTTGAATAATATTTCTGTTCATGATAAAAACAAAATCAACTCTCTGTATAAATATATCAGGTGACCGTTAAGGCCCATGGGCCTCTTGTTGTTTTGGTGACAAATTATGATTTTTCTTATATTAAAACATTCCGTAGACTTTCAAAGACATTTTTAACTTTTAATTTCGTTGTGGTTGTTTGTATAATTGATGAACATTTTGTACTGATACACATGTTATGATGTAACGTACAGTGATATTGCAGTTTTAACTTAGATGACAAAGCTACATATATCCTGATGACTATGTGTTTTAGATTTTAAAACAAAGTTACAACAGAGGTATAGGCGGTAATCTGGCTGTAAACAACAGTATTTACTTGTCAGTAGAAATAGAGAGATGGTAGGAGAGGATTGGGGAGGTGTGTATAGCACTGTTCACCCAGATACATAGAACTGTCAACTTACACAAATGGAAAATGTCAACGAAGTGCTAATTAAGACATAAAGAACTGATAATTAAGACACACAGAACTGTTAATTAAGACATAAAGAACTGATAATCAAGACACACAGAACTGATAATTAAGACACACAGAACTGTTAAGACATAAAGAACTGATAATTAAGACACACAGAACTGTTAAGACATAAAGAACTGATAATTAAGACACAGAACTGTTAAGAAGGACACACATAGCTGTTACACACGCAGAACTATTAATTTAGACACACAACTGTAAACTAAGACACACGGAGCTGTTTACACACGCAGAACTATTAATTTAGACACACAACTGTAAACTAAGACACACGGAGCTGTTTGTTTGGACACAAAGAGCTGTTAAAGTGACATAGAAACAAAATACTATTTAAGCAAGTATGATCACACGAGAAGAAAGTGAGAACTCAACGTTCAAAATACAACAGAAATTGATTGGACACAAGCATCATCAAAACTTGACAAGAAACACAATGTTTGTCCTGTACTACATGAACCCACTGCCGTAATGTCTCCTATCTAGTCACCAATGATATGGCACTAATATCTTACAGCTCTGGTCAGGATGACGTTTGTAACATTTCTACAGTGTAGATTTAAGCAAGTCTGTTAGAAAACCCAGGCTAAAGACTTCATTGATCAACATGATGGATCTAACCAGAAACTCCTGTTAACTTTGACACAAGCTATTAACTTTGGTCATGACATTGCACATACTGATCTTAACTGACTGTCCTGTATCATTACAAAAACTAAGTCGGTCAATTATATTGGCTGGTATGTTAGAGTGGTGTATCGGGAACTTGAGTTTCTCCCCTAACGGATATCCTTGACTCCCTGCCTCAGCTATCAGAGCTGTAGCGATACTGTGGCGTGTATGAAGCCAGGCTGTAATCACCGCCCTTCCAGCATAGATTGTCAAATCCAGATTTACAAAGCCAAAATTTGCTATGCAGTCAGGTAAGTAATTTTATTGCCAGGGGTGATAATATTTTGATATTCACTTACATCTGTTGAATGTAAATTTATACATGTGAAATGTAAATTTGAATTGTTGCTCTAAGTATTGTGTAAGCATTCAGTATGGAAATTAAACTTTCTGCTGATTATTGAAGACTTAATAAAATCTTGTTTATTTAACAAATAGCCGATATTGAACCTTTGTTCCCACTGTAGTGAGTTGACATGTGTGCTAGGTCGATACAAAAGGATATAACTTATTTATATATATCATGTATTATTGTTTTAATTTCTGCAACTTTTTTCACTTGTTAAACGTAAACGTATGCGGTATTAACAACACATATATAGGCAAAGATGAAAAAAAACAAGTTTCAGAATTTAACCTATGTTGTAATTTTCAAAAAAATAATCAGTTTTTTGCACCTTTTTAATTGATTGTGTTTCAATGTAATTTTGACATGAATCATTTATGTCATTTGCATTGTATTTGTCTGTGATTTCATATTTGACAAGTTTAAGTAACATGTCTGTTATAACATATACTCACACTGCAGGCTGTTAATAGTTTAGCAGTTATATAATATAATCATTTGATTTGTTGACAAAATATTCCTACACTGGTTTGATGCTTGTGTGTTGGTGTTTGAATGAGATTAGTATTTTGATTTTAGATTAATGCATATTTGTGGCACTACTAATAATTTTAGATATGGTCATATTCATTTTTCCAACATTGATCTCAAATTTCGATATTTGATTCACAATTTGGCAGATAATTAAGAGTATTATGTTAATTTTGAAATGCGCAAATTTTGGAATATTTTATTGAGTGCAAACACAAAAAGGGAAAAAATTTGTTTACTATATCTTTCATTATACTTAAAATAGGGGCCAGCTTGTCATTTACCAGTTAGCTGTTACAATGTGTTTGTACATTGGAATCAGGGACCAGACTTTTACCTTAGATGTCTACTAACACAAGTTCACTATACTTTGAAAACAAGGCTCGGATTGCTCATTTAGAAGCTGACTGACCCATCCATTGATTTAGACAGTGTCCAGTAAACGCCTCGCTTTAGTCGTCTCCCTTTGTTCTTGGCCATTAGAAACATAGAGCAATCTATTGACCCTCTGCCATCTGTTGTCATTTCCCGAGTGAACTGGGTTTATCAAAGTTCAGCAATACAAATCAGGTTGTGGAGACAATATTGTGACGTCAACACCTCTGTATCCAGGGGCATGCTTCAACAGAAATAGAACAATTCTAATGCCTCGTTAAAATGTGAGATTTATGAAATTTTTACCTGAATTGATGGGATTGTGTGACATTGACGCAGGAGCTGTTATAGATTTTACACTTTGGCGACGTCGCAGAAGATAATGCCATTATTGAAATTAATTAAACGGCTTGCATGTGTGGTGCTATAAATAGGTGTCATGTGACGTAATCGTCTTGTGGACTTAGTTCATTATGATCATCTCGTGGACTAGTTCATTGTGATCATCTTGTGGACTAGTTCATTGTGATCATCTTGTGGACTAGTTCATTGTGATGGTCTTGTGGACTAGTTCATTATGATCATCTTGTGGACTAGTTCATTGTGATCATCTTGTGGACTAGTTCATTGTGATTGTCTTGTGGCCTAGTTCATTGTAATGGTCTTGTGGACTAGTTCATTGTGATTGTCTTGTGGACTAGTTCATTATGATGGTCTTGTGGACTAGTTCATTGTGATTGTCTTGTGGACTAATTCATTATGATTGTCTTGTGGACTAGTTCATTGTGATCATCTTGTGGACTAGTTCATTGTGATTGTCTTGTGGACTAGTTCATTGTGATCGTCTTGTGGACTAGTTCATTATGATGGTCTTGTGGACTAGTGTATTATGATGGTCTTGTGGACTAGTTCATTATGCTGGTCTTGTGGACTAGTTCATTGTGATGATCTTGTGGACTAGTTCATTGTGATTGTCTTGTGGACTAGTTCATTGTGATGGTCTTGTGGACTAGTTCATTGTGATGGTCTTGTGGACTAGTGTATTATGATTGTCTTGTGGACTAGTTCATTATGCTGGTCTTTTGGACTAGTTCATTGTGATTGTCTTGTGGACTAGTTCATTGTGATCGTCTTGTGGACTAGTTCATTATGATTGTCTTGTGGACTAGTTCATTTTGATTGTCTTGTGGACTAGTTTATTGTGATCGTCTTATGGACTAGTTCATTATGATTGTCTTGTGGAGTAGTTAATTCCTCCTGTTTTAAGAGAAATTTAAATACAATGTATTATATAGAGTTTCAGCTCCTTATTAGAACCCTGCATCAGAAATGTAACACAATGTCTGTTTGTCTGTCTTCCACATTCTAGGTATGCAATAAGATATTTGGAAAATTATTGTTTTGGTTTAAGGTTCCGACTATACATCAGAGGAAGGCTTCAAGATTAAGTTGGGATTCAGTACCTATATTTAGTAATAAGAAGAATGATTGTGTAGGTTTAAGGATTTGGCTCCTTATAAGATGAAGGGTTAGAGATTATATATAGACTGTGGTGTAGCTATATATACCAGCCATATAATCAATACAGCTGTGGGAAATGGGAAAACAGCAGGTTACTATGGTCACTGGCGATCTGTTATACAAGGAAACCCTCCAAACACATTGTCTCTTCCTGTTGTTGTTGAAAGTGTTTTATAAACAAACTATACACTGTCTGGTGCAGACTATAGTCACATCCTGGCAGGCATGCATGGCCTGTATGTGCATGTTCTGGTCTATTTATAGGTACACCTGTTAACATTTAAAAGTTTAATTTGTGGAATTGCTTCTTGTGAAAATGCTTTAATTTTCACTTAATTCTTGGTCTGTTTATTTTGATAAAATTATTTTACATTTAAGATGGATTAGATTTTAGATTGCATAGGCCTAGGTCAGTTTCATTGACTCTACAATCAAAATCTCTGGTCAATTAACTTGCAATGTTATTCCCTAAGGCAAGAAAGTCTTACAAACTTTCACATCTTATCTATAATGTTGAACTTTCCGCAGCTTTTGGCTTCATACAGAATATTAAACATCAGCTATCTTGTTTTTAGCTTGTCTGGTCATCTGAATGTGTGGTTTAAGCTTGTCTGGTCATCTGAATGTGTGGTGTTAGCTTGTCTGGTCATCTGAATGTGTGGTGTTAGCTTGTCTGGTCATCTGAATGTGTGGTTTTAGCTTGTCTGGTGAATGTGTGGTTTTAGCTTATCCGGTCATCTGAATGTGTGGTTTTAGCTTGTCTGGTCATCTGAATGTGTTGTTTTAGCTTGTCTGGTGAATGTGTGGTTTTAGCTTGTCCGGTCATCTAACTGTCTATAAGTCAGTCACAAATGTTATCAGATACTGACAAACTTTATGAAAAGATTGGTCATATAGGGTTTTGCCTCCTGATTTTGACCTTGACCCTGCAGAAGTCACTTTACCTTGACATTGTATTGGTGATCTCGAGATAAACTATGCTTGGCTGTGTTTGCATGTCTGCAGTATTTGTCCAGATTAATTTGACCATGTCCTTGTGATTGATTTTGGTCCAGAAGTCTGTATTATTACATTTTAAGTTGTGACCTTTAGTTGACCAGCACTTGACCTTTGACCTGAGGTCATGGTATCATTACTTTTTGAGTTGTAATCTTGTATTGACCTATATTTGACCTTAGCTTAATCTTCCTGTTTCGTAGATTCTTGATCATTAATTATCACTGTAAAACATGACCATGGTCTGTGATTGACCTTTGCAGTGGTATAATTTTGTCTTTACATGTAAATAGCGACCTTTATTTGACCTGTGTTTGACCTTTTTTTTAAATTTCCGATTTTGCAGATTCTGGATCAGTAATTTTCCTGTACACTTTGACCTCGACCATAGACTATCCACGGTTGTGAAAAGGTTTGCCAATCTTGTCCAGTGTGAGGGAAATCTCACCTTAAAACAGCTTATTGACCTGTCCAAAGTGTAAGTAACAATATTTGTCAAGATTGTAAGTAACAATTAAATAACCTTAATATTTCAAGCATTGCCTCAACCTTGATTACCTTTCAAATTGGGCTACTTTGATTCAAGAAAATTTCCCAATATTCTTGAAGATTTTTCCTGTATTGATGATAAAAACTGTTTACAAGTGATACAACCGATAACTCACAAATTCTTTTTTGGATAAATTTTACAGACCTTCATATGATTGGATGAGGAACATGTCTGTTCGTAATCCGTCAATGCGGCACAACCGGAAGGTATCCCTGGTGTTCAACCACCTGGAACCCATGGAACTGGCCGAACACCTCACCTACCTAGAGTACAAGGCCTTCCGCCGGATCAACGTAAGTTTTAATATTGTTGGATCAACATCTAACCTTCCTACACAGCTTTTTGTTGAATCAATGTAAGTTTTAGTATTCTTGGATCAACATCTTTCCTTCTTAAAAACCCAGGATCTTTGTAAGTTTTTTTTATCAAGGATCAATAATTAAGCTTTCTGAAGTAAAAGGCCAGCTGCCAGATGCGTGTAGGTTTTAGTACAATGAATCAACACCTCACCTACCTGTATTACAAGGCCTTCCACCAGATGAGTTAAAGTTTTGATGGATCAACATCTGACCTTCTAGAAAGCCTTTTGCTGGATCAAAGACTACAGCTTAAATATGCTAAAACATTGTTATACTGCCACCATTTGTCCTCAGAAAATGTTTGGCATTATAAAGGGGTTTGGTGATAATGGAGGGTGACATTGAGTTATTAAAAAAACAAAAGGAAGACCTTTGATTAAAGGTATGTTAGTGGTAAACGAGGTAGGTTTTATATTTGGGTTATACTGAACCCATTGTCATGTTATACATCTATCAACAATACTGGCTTTATTAGGTCACCTGAGACAAAGTCTCAGGTGACCTATTGCGATCGCCTTTTGTCCGGCGGCGGCCGGCTGCCGTCATGCGTCCGTAAACAATTTACATTTTCGCCTTCTCCAAAACCCCTGAACCACTTTCAATGAAATTTTGCAGAAACCTACCAAGGTCAACAAAATTAGGGGAGGATATGGTCCCCAGCCCCCAGTTGACCCTGGGGTCTCACGTTTCCCCCCAGGGAGGTGGTAAACTTTACTATAGTTTATATAGGGAAATCACATTTTGGACCAACATTTGTTTTATTTCCATTGGAAGTAATTCAATTTGGGTTAGCATTATCAGTATTAGGTAGCAGTTTGATAGTATGCACATATCAGCCCTGACTGACCCCCAGGGGCTGATGGGTGGGGCCAAAAAGGGTTGAATTGACTGAAATTTCAGAAATCTTCTTCTCAAGACCCAGATATGGTAGAATCAAATACTCTTCATAGATGGAAGGGTCTTTAGGTGCTTTTCCAAAATTGTGAATTGCTTGACCTTGGGGTCTCACGTTTCCCCCTGGGGAGGGGGTATACCAACTTTACTATAGTTTATATAGGGAAATCACATTTTGGACCAACATTTGTTTTATTTCCATTGGAAGTAATTCAATTTGGGTTAGCATTATCAGTATTAGGTAGCAGTTTGATAGTATGCACATATCAGCCCTGACTGACCCCCAGGGACTGATGGGTGGGGCCAAAAAGGGTTGTATTGACGGAAATTTCAAAAATCTTCTTCTCAAAGACCCAGATTTGGTAGAATCAAACACTCCTCATAGATGGAAGGGTCTTAAGGTTTATTAAATTTATTATGGTTTATAATGGCAAATGATACTTTGAATATTACATGTTAATAACTTGATTGGAATTATAACCCTGAGTTGACAGTTTGATGCTGTGAAAATTTTGAGCCAGCCCTACCTCCAAGGGCTGTAGGGTGGGGCCCAAAGGAGTCAGTCCCTCTGTCCGGCGTCAACTTTTTGCTTTAAACAACTTCTTCTCAATAACCAAAAGGCCTAGGAAGATGATATTTGGCCAGTAGCATGCTGGGATCAAGGGCTACCAAGTTTATTCAAATAAATGACCTTGACCCACTTTCAAGGTCACAGGGGTCAAATATGTTAAAATCTTCAAACAACTTCTTCTCAATAACCAAAAGGCCCAGGGTACTGATATTGGGCCTGTAGCATGCTGGGATGAAGGACTATCAAGTTTGTTCAACTGAATGACCTTGACCAACTTTCAAGGTCACAGGGGTCAAATGTCGTAAAATCTTCAAGCGACTTCTTTTCAATAAGCAAAAGGGCCAGGGTACTGAAATTGGGCCTGTAGCATGCTGGGATGAAGGATTACCAAGTTAGTTCAAATGAATGACCTTGACCAACTTTCAAAGGTCAAAGGGGTCAAATGTCTTAAAATCTTCAAACGACTTCTTCTCAATAACCAAAAGGCCCAGGGTACTGATATTGGGCCTGTAGCATGCTGGGATGAAGGGCTACCAAGTTTGTTTAAATGAATGACATTGACCCACTTTCAAGGTCACAGGGGTCAAATGTCTTAAAATCTTCAAACAACTTCTTCTCAATAACCAAAAGGCCCAGGGTACTGATATTGGGCCTGTAGCATGCTGGGATGAAGGGCTACCAAGTTTGTTCAAATGAATGACCTTGACCCACTTTCAAGGTCACTGGGGTCAGATGTCTTAAAATCTTCAAACAACTTCTTCTCAATAACCAAAAGGCCCAGGGTACTGATATTGGGCCTGTAGCATGCTGGGATGAAGGACTTTCAAGTTTGTTCAACTGAATGAACTTGACCAACTTTCAAGGTCACAGGGTCAAATGTCGTAAAATTTTCAAGCGACTTCTTTTCAATAAGCAAAAGGGCCAGGGTACTGAAATTGGGCCTGTAGCATGCTCGGATGAAGGACTACCATGTTAGTTCAAATGAATGACCTTGATCCACTTTCAACCTAATGTCCTTGTTCAACAATCAAGGTCAGAGGCGTCATATGTTTAAATCTTTTAATTGGTTCTTTTGAAGATTAATAACAGGTGAGCGATGCAGGCCAATTGGGCCTCTTGTTGTTTTTTGTCACTTTGAATAATATTTCTGTTCATGTTAAAAACAAATTCAACTCTCTGTATAAATATATCAGGTGACCGTTAAGGCCCATGGGCCTCTTGTATCCGATTATACTGAACCCATCTCAGCTGAATGGCTCATTAATAGTAGGAACCTTACTTGAGTGTACTGTCATGTTATAATCAGCTATAAAATAGAAAATGTAATGATTGAATAACATGTTGTTGTGTCAGTAACATGGCAGTAGGTTTACAGCCATATTTACCAAGATCTGTAGACATAGTTTTAAAACGTTGCTCGGCTGACGTCATGTTTTTGTTAATTGTCTTATTGTCATTATAGCCACTAACAACAGTATCTGGTCTGCTTTTATGTGCACTTTGGAAAATGATTCATTTTAGTGCTTTGTGCGTCATTAAAATCATGTTGAAAAGCTGGAATGTGGAAATTGATTGTACAAATGATGTTAATGTGTGGAGTTATGTGTACACATTTGTTTGTCCCATGTCGTACAATACCGATAGCCTCACCTTCACCCACCTTTACCCATTAAACGATCAATATCTGTGTGTTTACAAAATAATCCAGTCTTTTGTCTTGGTCAAAATGTATCAGTGTTCGACTGTTAACGATGTGGTTGTAAAATAATGTGATACATGAAGTAAATTGTTTTCATAAATTGGTGTTTTGAATGTATAAGGTCTCTGTTTATGACTGTTACCTGGTACGATCAGATAAATTGTAAAAATATATTGATACATTTGTGAGTGAATAGTAAGAATTTTTTTTCTCTGCTTCATTAATTTCATCAGGTGACATATACTATTTATAATTTGTGTGGTTGTTTACAAGGATAGCCACTTGTATCAATAACATAGGGTTTCTTTTTAGAAAGTTCCCATTGAATCCAGGCATGGATGGAAACATTGTAAAGGGACGAAATAGTCAAGTTCTGAAACTTGAAACTTGATGGTTCAAGGAAAATATTACCATTACTTGAGCGTTAATGATTTGTAATGAAAATAATAAATATGACTTAATATTTAGGTCAGTAGCAATGAGTTCTGTTGTACAGTGAAACCTGTCTAATCTGACACCCTGTGGGACACAACAAAATGGTCAGACTACCTGTCTTATCTGGGACCCTGTGAGACAAACCATTGGTCAGGTTAACCTATCTAATCTGACACCCTGTGGGACACATGTTGGTCAGATTAACCTGTCTAATCTGACACCCTGTGAGACACAATAATAATAATAATAGTTTGAGATTCTTATATACCGCTTTATCACAACCTAGTTTGTAGGTCGTCTCAAAGCGGTTCACAAATTATTATGTGTGGTTATATGGCCTTTGCAACCAGCCAACATCTTTCTCGACTCCCACAGGAGCATACAGCCGGTGCTGCCATTTCGGCGCTCACAGCTAGCATGAATTCAACAATTCTAGCTCTGCCCAACCACATACTCATTTACAGCTGAGTAGACTGGAACAAGCTGAGTAAAGTATCTTGCTCAAAGATACAACACAGTGCCATTCTGTGACTCTAACCAGCAACCCTTTGGCCCGGTGTCCTACCACTAGACTTCCGTGCCTCCTAACACACAACATATTGATCGGATTAACCTATTAAATCTGACCCCTTATGGTAGACAAAAAATTGGTTAAATTAACCTGTCTAATCTGAGACCCTGTAGGTCACAACATATTGGTAAGAAAAGGCCAAATATTGAAATACACTGGTCTTATTTAGTGGTTTTGTGTCGCCTACGACAGATGTCGGAAAGACACATAGGCGTTGCTTTTCCGACGGCGGTGTCAACAATGTTAAGGTTTTGCGTTTAGCTCTGTTTCTGACAAGGCTACACCAACAAAACCTCGATCATAGATGAAGCATGGGTAGTGGAGCCTACTGCATTAAACACATTTCATTGATTTCTGCAATTTTTTGGTAAAAACCTCAAATTTCTGGACATAGAAAAAAACTCCAAGTTAAGGTTTTGCGTTTAGCTCTTGCATATTAGGCTCTTTCTGACAAAATATAAGAGCTATACACCAACCAAACCTCAATCATACATGTATCATGGGTAGTAGAGCCTACCACTCTAAAAATATTTCATGGATTTTTGCACTTTTTCGGATAAAAACCTGAAATTTCTGGACTTTAAAAAAAAGCAATGTTATGATTTTGCGTTTAGGTCGGTTTCCTTATGTCCTATGTCAAATGCTTATTATATTGACAAAGCGGGACAGGCGACAAATATAATTACGCGTAATTCTTGTTATAAGAAATAGGATTATACAGCTTGATATCAAAGGTTTACTTTTTACACAAACAATGTACGTAGTAAATGTGTAGCAACGTATCAAGACCAACTGGTCCCTTTGTCAAGCTATCAACGGGACCAGTCGGTCTTGAAACGTTGCGACGCGCTTAATATGTACATTGTTTGTGTAAAAAGTAAAACTTTGATTTTACATATTTCCAAACTGATGAATCTTATTGAAGATAGGATTACAGCTTTATATTTGATCAAACAGGACAGAATACTTAAGTATTAGATTAGACAGATTTTACTATAATGATTAGTACCAAGACCAAAATAATATTGTGGCATTTCTTAAAATGTGGTTTCCATCATTCCTTAAAATGTGATTTATGATTAAGTCAAGCTTTTGTGGGAAAATTGTTTCCTTTGTCAAATGTGGTGATTTGTTGAAACTTTGTGGAAACTTTTCCAGTTTACCGACTTTAAAAACTATGCAGTGACGGCCTCCCTGAAAGACAACCCCAAACTGGAGCGATCCATTGCCCTGTTCAACGGTCTGTCGCAGTGGATCCAGTGTATGGTCCTTAGCAAGACAACGCCTCAACAGCGAGCAGACGTCATCGTCAAGTTTGTCAACGTCGCTAAGGTAACTCTTTTGTGATTGCTTCTGTTTAGAAAGAAAATGCAGGAAGTCTTTCAGTTTTGTACAGCATTCTAACATTGATCCATTGACAGTCTGATCAGATCCTACCATCATAACATTGTTTAGTTGGCTTCAAATGTGGTTCCCGTCATTTCTTAAAATGTGGTTACCATCATTCCTTAAAGGTTGTAACCATCATTCCTTAAAGGTGGTTACCATCATTCCTTAAGATGTGGTTACCATCATTCCTTAAAGGTGGTAACCATTATTCCGTAAAGGTGGTTACCATCATTCCTTTAAATGTGGTTTCCATAATTCCTTAAAGGAAGGTTATACCATCATTCCTTAAAGTTGGTTACCATCATTCCTTAAGATGTTGTTTCCATCATTCCTTAAGATGTGGTTTCCATCATTCCTTAAAGGAAGGTTATACCATCATTCCCTAAAGGTGGTTACCATCATTCCTTAAGATGTTGTTTCCATCATTCCTTAAGATGTGGTTTCCATCATTCCTTTTAATGTGGTTACCATCATTCCTTAAGATATGGTTTCCATCATTCCTTAAAGGTGGTTACCAATATTCTTTAAAATGTTGTTTCCATCATTCCTTAAGATGGGGTTTCCATCATTCCTTAAGATGTGGTTACCATCATTCCGTAAAGGTGGTTACCATTATTCCGTAAAGGTGGTTACCATCATTCCTTTAAATGTGGTTTCCATCATTCCTTAATATGTGGTTTCCATCATTCCTTAAAGGAAGGTTATACCATCATTCCTTAAAGTTGGTTACCATCATTCCTTAAGATGTTGTTTCCATCATTCCTTAAGATGTGGTTTCCATCATTCCTTTTAATGTGGTTACCATCATTCCTTAAGATATGGTTTCCATCATTCCTTAAAGGTGGTTACCAATATTCTTTAAAATGTTGTTTCCATCATTCCTTAAGATGGGGTTTCCATCATTCCTTAAGATGTGGTTACCATCATTCCTTAGAGGTGGTTACCATTATTCCGTAAAGGTGGTTACCATCATTCCTTTAAATGTGGTTTCCATCATTCCTTAAAGGAAGGTTATACCATCATTCCTTAAAGGTGGTTACCATCATTCCTTAAAGGTGGTAACCATCATTCCTTAAAGGTGGTTACCTTCATTCCTTAAATGTGGTTACCATCATTCCTTAAATGTGGTAACCATCATTCCTTAAATGTGGTTACCATCATTCCTTTAAATGTGGTTTCCATCATTCCTTAAAGGAAGGTTATACCATCATTCCTTAAAGGTGGTTACCATCATTCCTTAAGATGTTGTTTCCATCATTCCTTAAGATGTGGTTTCCATCATTCCTTAAAGGAAGGTTATACCATCATTCACAGTTTGTCAAGAACTTTAACTTCTTGTTCCTGTTTTAGGTTGCTATGAGAAATGTTTCCATTTGTTGTGATTTCAATATTGTTTATTCCTTTTGTCATTTTGTTGTAGAAACTAAGGATTTTACAAAACTTCAACACATTGATGTCCGTTGTTGGCGGTCTGACACACAGTGCCCTGGCCAGACTAGCAAAGACCAATGCCTGCATTCCCAGTGAAACTCAAAAGGTGAGACCATGGGAATCCACATTGTCATGGTAACAACTTGAAACCCTGTGGTAGGAACATTTGGTAGAGTGATGTGCCAGAAAGTCTTCTGTATACAGAAATATTTTTGCATTACATTTTTATTCACTGATAAACTGATTTTTTTTCTTCTAATTTTCTTGATCATGGCAATAAGAACCGACTCACCAGGACCATTTGTGGCTACTTTATGTTATATTTTCATGTTTACAAATGATTTTCTTGATGCAAACCTTCACACTTTGGTCAGGCTTGGCAGTATTTGTAAACTGGGATGTTTAAAGTTGTCCTTTTACTTGCTGTGCTTATATTCCCGGTTACTGTCAAATAATCACATATATGGATACCATTGATATAACATTCTCCTAGATCATTGATGAATGAGGGATTTGATACGTATGTATATCTAAGTTGAAGTCCCATTCATACGAATAACATTTTCAGCTTAATTTCACAATAACAATCTCAGATATCCTTAATATCTCAAGTTGTGAAGTCACCTGGTAGGGGATTGCATAGTGTTTTTACATTCAGGCCTCAAATACCTCATTTATCAATTATATCATATATCAGTTGATTGGAGTATTATGTTAATGTTACCTATATCTGACTATTAACCCTTTCACCACTGTAAACTGTAATGGACACATCCAGATCAATGTATGGTAGCGTCTACTAAAGTTACATAGGATTGAACGGGTTAAATCAATCTGTCAATTAGAATAAAATCAATGAATGCAATCTTTTTATTTTTATTTTCAGACTTTGATGGAATTCACAGAACTTTTATCATCCAATAACAACTTTAGTAATTACAGGAAGGTGTTTAACCAGTGTTGTCACTTTAAAATTCCAATATTGTGAGTATAAATACTGGGACAACAAGAGTTGTTTCCCTTCTGTACTGTCTTTCGACCTGTCAGCAATTGTCTCCCTTTGGACCTAATGTCAAGTATGAATAAAGAAAAAATACCGTTTGGATCATCTAAGCACTGTTACTCTTGCAGTATAAACATTTTGTTTCAAAACAAATAGCACTTGCTTTACATTTCACCCTGTTTACCATATGTGTATAATGTCTACGAAAAGATTGTGATTCTAATTAATTATTGCTTGTGTATGCCTCAGTGGTGAACATCTATATAATTGATAACTAGCTTGGTGAGAGGAATTTCGTGATAGCTTTTAGCACTAAAACAATGGACTAAATATCTTTTGACCAAATTTAAAACTTAGTGAGCAAACCTTTAGAATTTATACCCTTTACAATTCACACCAATATAGGGCCTCAATTAGACCTCTGTATGGTTCATTTATACACAATATATCATCAGCACACACACAGGCATACACACTTTGGGAGATATTAGCCCTGTTGCATGATCATAAGAGGCGACTAAATTTGGGATCTTATCTTTTCTCTTCTTTCTAAACAACTTTCTTCTTCCTAATGTCTCCCTTGACAATGCCTCACTTTTGGCCTTTAGTTGAGCGTTCGCCCCTGTGAGGAAGGCTTTGGGTTCTGTCCCTTGGCCGAGACATACCAGAGTCTGTAAAAATTGTAGTTTCTACGCGACCGGATGGGGTGTCCTGCTGGTTGTCTTCGGCAGTATGTTTCAGTGTGGTAGCACTAAAAGGTCGGCATCAGTTCTACGCTATCGTGCTAAAACGAACATATCACAGCCTCCCAAAACGCACACGCATACACTACACGCATGCATGCATCTTGCACACAGGGGAGGCCGTCCTTAAATGACCATAGCTGTTGATAGGACATTTAACAATACTAAACCATACAAAAAAAAAGAGAGATTAGCCAGGTGGCATAGGACTAATAGTTATTACCTAATTAGGCAGCTCCTACGAATTCCTCAAAATTGTATTGATTAATGTATATGCTAATTGTATTGATTGTATAAATTGTATTTCTATGTACTGTAAAGCGCTTTAGAGTGGCTTATTCTAGCTAGGTAGGGCGCTATATCAAATGTTGTATATTATTATATTATTACAAAAATGTATTATTATTCAGGATGTCCAGCAATTGATCATAAATTAGAAAATCTCTGTCACATTTCCTCAGACAAATTTAACAAGTCTATAATAAATTTAATCAAAAGTAAGGTTTTATGAAAATGAAGTTGCTTACAGTCAGTAAATGTTAGTATGAAGCAGTCTGTTCAATAACACTAAGAAAACTTCAAGCTAACCTCTTCCCTTTGCTTGATTCTTAAAAGTTGATAATCGTTATTATATTCTATTGGTAAAATAATTAAAGTTAAACAATAAATTTGTTTGAGTTTGACCCCTGACCTTTGACCTTGTAGGGGAGTACACTTGAAGGACCTCATCCTGTTACATACAGCATTACCAGATAAAGTGGAGGGAAGTTTGGTGAACTTCAGAAAAATGGCACAGCTTTCTCAAACCCTTAAAGAACTTACCAAACTACAGAACCACGACAACATCCCTGTGTGTGCCAACATGGACCTCGTCAACACACTTAGGGTCAGTAGTAGATTCATTAATTCAGTAAAAAATATAAAAAAAACAAAAAAACAGGAATTTCTTCATTAAGATTAGTAATCTCAAAATAAATTATGTTTTTTATCCTTACAAAATTGATGCTAGGTAATAAACCATTTATTCTCCAAAAATGTGGATGTATTCTGTTGGTATCGTTACAGCTGTCCCTGGATCTCCACTACACGGAGGACGAGATTTATGAACTCTCCTTGGCCAGAGAACCACGTAACTCCCTGTCATCAGTAAGTACCGACAGCTGTGTGGTCCTTCATCCTAGTAGAATGTCCTACTTTCTTAATACAAATAGAGAAGAAGAAAAAGGAAAAAACAAAAACAGACATTTTTGTTTGTCACACAGTCAATGTTGTCCCAAGGAAGTTTATAGAAATGACATTGCAAATAACCTGTTAACCTTGAAAAAAAGATTATAGTCACATTTATTTTGACTTAGAGAATTTAACTTATACAATCCTTTACTGTTTAATGTATAATAATGATTTTCATTCAGGGTTTTATACTTTTCAGCCTTCCACTCCCACCAAGCCAGTGGTATTTGCTGACTGGTTAGCCGGAGTTAGCCCCCCTGTCCCAAACACGATTAATAAACATGTACACGATATGGTGGAAGTAAGTATATCTTGGAACATTGATAAACTACTTGTCCGGGTCATCATAAAGCTTATTAAAGTATTCATATGTTCTGTATTTTGAATTGTTTTATGAAGCCTTAAATTTACTTTAGGTAATGAATTAGGGATTACATCAATTTTATACTTGGTTTCATTCATTGAACTTGTTTGTATGTTGGTAATCGGACAAATAAATACTTTAAAGAAACCAGGCTTCAGGACCTGCTACTTCCTTTTATTGTTTCTTTACAAAAGCATGGTTGGTTTAGCATTTCCATTATAACTTAATGAAAGTTTTGTTTTTAAATTGTCCCAGTCTACAGATTTATACTGTGTAGGTTTTACCCTGATAAGGTCACTCCATAAGGTATCTTTTGTTGTATTTATAGGCAGTGTTTAAAAACTACGACCACGACAAAGACGGGTTTATCTCTCACGAGGAATTTGAGTCCATAGCGGGCAACTTCCCATTTATAGATTCCTTTTGTGTGTTAGATGCTGACAAGTAAGTATACATGTACCAGTGCTCAAAATTTAATGTGACTGGATGAAGGATGCAAATGTACTTGAAAACTTATTAAAATAACTAGTGTTATAGAATGTAATGTTGGAGTGCTGTATAGGGAAACACCTGTTTAAATATTTGATTGAAGTAAGTTTCACATATAATGTCGCTGATCATAATGTTTACAAGATAAACTATTATAATGATTACAGGGATGGATAATGTCACTGATCATAATGTTTACAAGATAAACTATTATAATGATTACAGGGATGGATAATGTCACTTATCATTGGTTACCAGATACACTATCATAATGATTACAGGGATGGATAATGTCACTGATCATTGGTTACCAGATAAACTATTATAATGATTACAGGGATAGATAATGTCACTGATCATAATGTTTACCAGATAAACTATTATAATGATTACAGGGATGGAATGATCAGCAAGGCAGAGATGAAGACTTACTTTATCAGAGCGAATTGTCACGCACTAAGGAAATGTTTTAAACATGACTTCCACGAGATTACCTACTTCAAACCTACATTCTGTATACACTGTACAGGACTGGTGAGTTTATTTCAAACCTACATTCTTAATACACTGTACAGGACAGGTGAGTATGCTTCAAATCTACATTCTGTATACACAGAACAGGACTGGTGAGTTTGCTTCAAACCTACATTATATATACACTGGACAGGACAGGTGAGTACACTTCAGACCTACATTCTATATATACACTATACAGGCCTGGTGAGTTTACTTCAATCCTACATTCTGTACACACTGTACAGGACTGGAGAGGACACTTCAAACCTACATTCGGTATACACTATACAGGCCTGGTGAGTTTACTTCAAACCTACATTATATATACACTGTACAGAACTGGTGAGTATACTTCAAACCTGCATTCTGTATACACTGTTCAGGACTGGTGAGTATGCTTCAAGCCTATATTCTGTATAGACTGGAGAGGACTGGTGAGTTTATTTCAAACCTACATTCTTAATACACTGTACAGGACAGGAGAGTATGCTTCAAACCTATATTCTATATTCACTGTACAGGACAGGAGAGTATGCTTCAAACCTTCATTCTGTATGCTTCAAACCTTCATTCTGTATACACTATACGGGACTGGTGAGTTTATTTAAAACCTACATTCTTAATACACTGTACAGGACAGGCGAGTATGCTTCAAACCTTCATTCTGTATGCTTCAAACCTTCATTCTGTATACACTATACATGACAGGTGAGTATGCTGCAAACCTATATTCTGTATAGACTGGAGAGGACTGGTGAGTTTGCTTCAAACCTACATTATATATACACTGTACAGAACTGGTGAGTATACTTCAAACCTACATACCGTATACACTATACAGGCCTGGTGAGTTTACTTCAAGCCTACATTCTGTATAGACTATACAGGACAGGGGAGTATGCTTCAAACCTATCTTCTATATACACTGTTCAGGACAGGTGAGTTTACTTCCATACTACATTCTGTATACACTAGACAGGACTGGTGAGTGTGCTTCAAAAGATTACCTACTTCAAACCTACATACCGTATACACTATACAGGACTGGTCAGTTTACTTCAAACCTATATTCTGTATCCACTATACAGGACTGGTCAGTTTACTTCAAACCTACATTCTGTATACACTATACAGGACTGGTGAGTACACTTCAAAGCTACATTCTGTATACACTATACAGGACTGGTGAGTTTGCTTCAAACCTACATTATATATACACTGTACAGGACAGGTGAGTATGCTTCAAACCTACATACTGTATACACTATACAGGACTGGTGAGTTTACTTCAAACCTACATTCTGTATAGACTATACAGGACAGGTGAGTATGCTGTATACACTGTAAAGGACTGATGTACAGGACTGGTGAGTTTACTTCAACCCTCCATTCTGTATAGACTATACAGGACAGGTGAGTATGCTGCAAACCTATATTCTGTATACACTGTACAGGACTGATGAGTACACTTCAAACCTACATTCTGTATACACTGTACAGGACAGGTGAGTACACTTCAAACCTACATTCTGTATACACTATACAGGACTGGTGAGTATGCTTCAAACCTACGTTCTGTATACACTGTAAAGGACTGATGAGTATGATTCAAACCTTCATTCTGTATACACTGTACAGGACTGATGAGTATGATTCAAACCTTCATTCTGTATACACTGTACAGGACTGATGAGTATGATTCAAACCTTCATTCTGTATACACTATACAGGACTGGTGAGTATGCTTCAAACCTTCATTCTGTATACACTGTATACAGAACGTAGGTTTGAAGCAGACTCACCAGTCCTGTACAGTGTATACAGAATGAAGGGTTGAATCATACTCATCAGTCCTTTACAGCGTATACAGAACGTAGGTTTGAAGCATACTCACCAGTCCTGTATAGTGTATACAAAATGTAGGTTTGAAGTGTACTCATCAGTCCTGTACAGTGTATACAGAACGTAGGTTTGAAGCAGACTCACCAGTCCTGTACAGTGTATACAGAATAAAGGTTTGAAGTGTTATCATCAGTCCTGTACAGTGTATACATAAAGTAGGATTATAGTGTACTCATCAGTCCTATATAGTGTATACAGAACGTAGGTTTGAAGCAGACTCACCAGTCCTGTACAGTGTATACAGAATAAAGGTTTGAAGTGTTATCATCAGTCCTGTACAGTGTATACATAAAGTAGGATTATAGTGTACTCATCAGTCCTATATAGTGTATACAGAAAGTAGGATTATAGTGTACTCATCAGTCCTATATAGTGTGTACAGAACGTAGGTTTGAAGCATACTCACCAGTCCTGTACAGTATATACAGAATATAGGTTTGAAGCATACTCCCCTGTCCTGTATACACTATACAGGACAGGTGAGTATGCTTCAAACCTATATTCTGTATATACTGTACAGGACTGGTGAGTATGCTTCAAACCTACATTCTTTATACACTGTACAGGACTGATGAGTATGCTTCAACCCTACATTCTGTATACACTGTACAGGACTGGTGAGTACACTTCAAACCTACATTCTGTATACACTGTGCAGGACTGGTGAGTATGCTTCAAACCTTCATTCTGTATACACTGTACAGGACTGATGAGTACACTTGAAACCTACATTCTGTATACACTATACCGGACTGGTGAGTACACTTCAAACCTATATTCTGTATACACTGTACAGGACTGGTGTGTATGCTTCAAACCTACATTCTGTATACACTATATAGGACTGATGAGTACACTATAATCCTACTTTATGTATACACTGTACAGGACTGATGATAACACTTCAAACCTTTATTCTGTATACACTGTACAGGACTGGTGAGTTTACTTCAAACCTACATTCTGTATACACTATACAGGACTGGTGATTTTACTTCAAACCTACATTCTGTATAGACTATACAGGACAGGTGAGTATGCTTCAAACCTATATTCTGTATACACTGTACAGGACAGGTGAGTATGCTTCAAACCTATATTCTGTATACACTGTACAGGACAGGTGAGTTTACTTCAATCCTACATTCTGTATACACTATACAGGACTGTTGAGTATGCTTCAAACCTTCATTCTGTATACACTGTACAGGACTGATGAGTACACTTCAAACCTACATTCTATATACACTATACAGGACAGGTGAGTATGCTTCAAACCTACATTCTTTATACACTGTACAGGACTGATGAGTATGATTCAAACCTTCATTCTGTATGCACTGTACAGGACTGATGAGTATGATTCAAACCTTCATTCTGTATGCACTGTACAGGACTGATGAGTATGATTCAAACCTTCATTCTGTATACACTGTACAGGACTGGTGAGTATGCTTCAAACCTACGTTCTGTATACACTATATAGGACTGATGAGTACACTTCAAACCTACATTCTGTATACACTATGCAGGACTGATGAGTATACTTCAACCCTACATTCTGTATACACTATGCAGGACTGATGAGTATACTTCAACCCTACATTCTGTATACACTATACCGGACTGGTGAGTACACTTCAAAACTACATTCTGTATACACTATACGGGACTGATGAGTATACTTCAACCCTACATTCTGTATACACTATGCAGGACTGATGAGTATACTTCAAACCTACATTCTGTATAAACTATACAGGACTGATGAGTACACTTCACACCTACGTTCTGGATACACTGTACCTGTATAGGACTGATAAGTATGATTCCTTGAAAATAGGAGATTTTGATGTCTATGATGTTTAGTTCAAACCTATATTCTGTATACACTGTACAGGACAGGTGAGTACACTTCAAACCTACATTATGTATACACTATACAGGACTGAGGAGGACACTTCAAACCTACATTCTGTATACCCTATACAGGACTGATGAGTACACTTGAAACCTACATTCTGTATACACTCTACAGGACTGATGAGTATACTTAAAACCTACATTCTGTATACACCATACAGGACTGATGAGTATACTCCAAACCTACATTCTGTATACACCATACAGGACTGATGAGTATACTTCAAACCTACATTCTGGATACACTGTACAGGACTAATTAGTACACTTCAAACCTACATTCTTTATAAACTATACAGGACTGATGAGTATAATTCAAACCTACATTCTGTATAAACTATACAGGACTGATGAGTATGCTTCAAACCTACATTGTGTATACACTATATAGGACTGATGAGTATACTTCAACCCTACATTCTGTATACACTATATAGGACTGATGAGTATACTTCAAACCTACATTCTGGATACACTATACAGGACTGATGAGTACACTTCACACCTACGTTCTGGATACACTGTACCTGTATAGGACTGGTAAGTATGCTTCCTTGAAAATAGGGGATTTTGATGTCTATGATGTTTAGTTCAAACCTATATTCTGTATACACTGTACAGGACAGGTGAGTACACTTCAAACCTATATTCTGTATACACTGTACAGGACTGGTGAGTACACTTCAATCCTACATTCTGTATACACTATGCAGGACTGATGAGTATACTTCAAACCTACATTCTGGATACACTATACAGGACTGATGAATATACTTCAAACCTACATTCTGGATACACTATACAGGACTGATGAATATACTTCAAACCTACATTCTGGATACACTGTACAGGACTGATGATAACACTTCAAACCTATATTCTGTATACACTGTACAGGACAGGTGAGTATGCTTCAAAGCATACTTATCAGTCCTATACAGGTACAGTGTATCCGGAACGTAGGTTTGAAGTGTACTCATCAGTCCTATATAGTGTGTACAGAACGTAGGTTTGAAGCATACTCACCAGTCCTGTATAATGTATACAGGACTGGTGAGTATGCTACTGTACAGGACTGGTGAGTTTACTTCAAACCTACATTCTGTAAACACTATACAGGACTGATGAGTATAATTCAAACCTACATTCTGTATAAACTATACAGGACTGATGAGTACAATTCAAACCTACATTCTTTATAAACTATACAGGACTGATGAGTATACTCCAAACCTACATTCTGTATACACCATACAGGACTGATGCGTATACTTCAAACCTACATTCTGGATACACTATACAGGACTGAGGAGCACACTTCAAACCTACATTCTGGATACACTATACAGGACTGAGGAGAACACTTCAAACCTACATTCTGTATAAACTATACAGGACTGATGAGTATACTCCAAACCTACATTCTGTATACACCATACAGGACTGATGAGTATACTCCAAACCTACATTCTGTATACACCATACAGGACTGATGCGTATACTTCAAACCTACATTCTGGATACACTGTACAGGACTGATGATAACACTTCAAACCTATATTCTGTATACACTGTACAGGACTGTTGAGTATACTTCAAACCTACATTCTGTAAACACTATACAGGACTGATGAGGACACTTCAAACCGACGTTCTGGATACACTGTACCTGTATAGGACTGGTAAGTATGCTTCCTTGAAAATAGGAGATTTTGATGTCTATGATGTTTAGTTCAAACCTATATTCTGTATACACTGTACAGGACTAATGAGTACACTGCAAACCTACATTCTGTATACACTCTACAGGACCGGTGAGTACACTTCAAACCTACATTATGTATACACTATACAGGACTGGGGAGTACACTTCAAACCTACATTATGTATACACTATACAGGACTGAGGAGCACACTTCAAACCTACATTCTGTATAAACTATACAGGACTGATGAGTACAATTCAAACCTACATTCTGTATACACTATACAGGACTGATGAGTACACTTCAAACCTACGTTCTGGATACACTGTACCTGTATAGGACTGATAAGTATGCTTCCTTGAAAATAGGAGATTTTGATGTCTATGATGTTTAGGTCATTTGTACCTGGTTGGTCATATAAGAATTTACTGCACCTTGTCCTATATTTGTTAGTGTTGTCAGTTTCTTTTATTTTTGTCACTGCACTATACTGTAGCAATTTGTCTGAGATTGTCGACACTCTGATATTTGTGGCTGTTGTCACGATTTGGCAAAATTTTTCACTAACAATGTAATATTTGTGGCTGTTATCACAATTTGTCTGACATTTGTGGCAATTTTAAAGTGATATCAATGCTCTTTGTAGAGTACTTGTATCATACTCGTCTCTTTGTAGCGTACTTGTATCATAC